GTGTCTTAGAATGCCCTAGATACTGGACCCTAAAATTTTACGAATGTGATTGGTCCTTGAAATTTCTGAGAGTTTCTCTCTCCCCTCTGGAGCTCTTTAGTCTCACCAAACCCTGCCATGAATAATTACTTTTTCCTTATCTTCTCCAATTAGCGTGATGTTATCTATATAGTGGATGAGTGTGATGTTCTGCAGGATGTCCAGCCACTTTATATCTCTTCAGAGGGAAAGACAGCTACCATAGTTTTGGACTGAGAAATGTAAATGTGTGGTCCACGTAGGAGCTGCCCTAGAAGCACTGTGTCTGGTCTATTTCCCAAAAGCTTTACGAGGGTGTTAAGTTCTGTATGCTGGAAGTTTCTTGATTGATAAACTTATGCTCCACCTCCTTTGATCATGCACCCTCATACTCCAGTGCCATGCATGGTCTCAGCTCCTGCTGGTTAGATTCTACAATTCCTTTGAGATATCATTCCTTTCCTTCCTTATCAGGCCCAGTACATCTATGGCCTGGTTTTGCTGTTGCTTAAGCCTATGTATGGGCCTAGGTACCAGGAGGGAAGGTGGAGGGAAAATCCTGGGAGAGTTCATGTCTTGCTGAGGAAAAGCCTCTGCACTGTCTTCAAAATATTGGGGAATGCTAGTCATTAAGGAATTTGAGGACTCATGATTTTTGGTGTTATCAGTCCCATCCTGTGTGTCATGGTTCCATTTCTCAACCAGAGCCCTGAACTTGGCATAGAAAATATGTATTGTTAAAGAGTTTAATGTTTTTTGGAGCTCTGCTACTCTTGATATTAAGTCCTAGTCCTTGCCCTCAGCATTCTCTATCTGCTCACTGTAGGAACAGAGAGCCTCTTTCAATGCTACCAAGAAAGGCTTTCTGGATTTCACACTTATCTTTTAATTGGCAATTATCTTTCTATCATCTTCTTCTAGAGCATCAATAAAGACTGGTAACTGTCACAAGTTTTCTTTATCTCTATAATTATTATTCCTATATCTCTATAATTATTATTTCCCCCATATTTTTCAAATGGTTGATAAAGCTAAGGCATTTCTTTCCACTGGAATATGATCCAAGTTCACTCTTGGTGAAGTTTTAACAGTTGCCAGGACAGTTGCCAGGAACTGTCTGTGTTCCACTCTCTGGAAATGGTAAGGTATTCATTACTAGCTTGACAGCTTTCAAATCCCATTCATGGTGACTTTCTTGAATTATTCCTCACACCAAATGTCACACGTGGGTTTCCTTGATACCAAACTGTGAGATAAATGTTAGCATGCTGAGGACTTAATAAGAAGTGCTATTTTGGGCCAATATTTCATCAGATATTCTTTCTGTCCCACTATGTCTTGATTCTCCTTCTTGGACTCCAATTACACATACATTAGACCACTTGATAGTGTCCTACAGATCTCTAAGGCTATCTTCATATTTTAAAAATCTCCTTGTGTTCTTCACCTTGGATAAACTCTATAAATCTTTTTTGCAATTTCACTAATCATTTCTTCTGTAACTTATAATCTGATGTTTAGACTATCCAGTGAATTTTTTCCCAAATATTGTACTTTTTAGTGTTAAAACATACATTTGTTTATTTTTTGTCATTTTCATTTCTCTGCTGATATGCAGCAATATCTGTTGATATTCTCTGTTCATTCTTATAAATATCCTTTACATTCTTAAATATAGTTATATAATAACTACCTTAAAAGCTCTTTTCTCTTAATTCCAACATCTAGATTTTCTTGAGGTCTGTTTCTATGTACTGGAGAATTTTGAACAGAGGAGTGATGTACTGTGAAATCATGATTTTAAAGTACTACTCTGATTGCCATGTGGTAAGTGGCCTTTCGGGGTACAAAAATCAACAAATAGGCACAGTCCAAGAGGATAGTGTTTTAGTCAGATGAGGGATGATGGTGGTTTGGCCTTGGGTGGTAGCACTGGTATGGATGAGAAGTTTTGGATTTTGATGATCAGGTCTTGTTGATAGATTGGAGGGAGAGAGAAAGAGGAATAAAGGATAAGCTCATGGTTATTTTACTTAGTGACTAAAATGAGATTGACATTTGCTTACATGCTAACACAGGCAGGAGAATGTTTGGAGAGGGTGCAAAACCAAATTAAATGTGAGAAGTCTGTTAGAGATCCAAGTGGGGATATTGAATAGGCACTTGTATATGAGTCTGGCACTCAGGAGTGAGGTCTTGCATGACATAAATTTGGCAGTCAAAAGTTTGTGGGTGGTATTTAAAGCCATGGGTCTTAAAGAAGGGGTGTGAGGACTAAGCCCTGGTGTACTCAAATGTTTAGAGGTCTGGGAAATGAGGAGAACATGGGAAAAGAACTTAAAAATGAAGTAAAAGGAGAAATAAAAGAGAATGGTATCCAGGAGATGAAGTAAAGAATATGATTCAAAATGGAAGGAGTAATCAGCTTGTCAAATGTTACTGCTGGGCTTTCCTGGTGGCGCAGTGGTTGAAAGTCCGCCTGCCGATACAGGGGACACAGGTTCGTGCCCCGGTCCGGGAGGATCCCACATGCCACGGAGTGGCTAGGCCTGTGAGCCATGGCCACTGAGCCTGCGCGTCCAGAGCCTGTGCTCCGCAACAGGAGAGGCCACAACAGTGAGAGGCCCGCGTATCGCAAAAAAAAAAGAAAAAAATGTTACTGCTAATTAGGGGGAGTAAGAAATAAGCCTTTGTTGTATTAAACCACTGAGATTTTGAAGTTTGTTTCTGCAGTGCATTAGCATATTAATCAATACTGTATAAACTAACTTCTTGAATTGCTTTGAATTTAAATTCTGAAAGTAAGTGCTTAAATTCAACTAATAAACGTCCTTAGAGTCCTATATGAGATCATTTTGGGCATTTTACCTGTAATGATTTGTCAATTAGGATAGTTATTTTCTTCTTGTCATTAGAATATCTGCTTATGGATTCTTATTCATTGACTCTTTCCAACAACATTTATAAAACTTAATACTCTAATAATTAGCTTCCTGAGAATAGTAAATTATCAGTAAAAGGTGCACTCATGGCGCTTTTCTAGCATAGTAATGCGCTGCTTGACACAGTTGGTACTCAATAAATGTGAATATGTCCATCAAATACCTGTTTTATTAATGTTATTTGATGTGTTATTACCACAGAGACTGCACTATTAAATGGCCAAAGGCCAATCTCAGGTAGTACAATGGATATGGAAATTACATTTCTGACTTTCAGTAAAGAAACTATTTACAAAATCTGAGAGTGAGTAAGTATGTTGACTCGGGGCCATCAGAAGAGACTGTGCAGATGCAGAGGTGCTTGTTGAGGGGGACTGAGGTCCAGACCAATTTCCAATCTCCAATCTGCTCTGTCCCAGAAGGCATTAGTGAGTAGAAGGAACACTTTTATAATTAGTCCCCCTAGAATAGGTACCTTTTTGTAATTAGTTAGTCTAGAGAAAGTACCTTTCTCTTAGCACAGATTTGCACATCTGCCTACAGAAGACTTTCAGTGGAATGATATCTGCAAAAATATCATTTTGGTTTGATGGGTTCAGACAACAGTTTTAAATGGAATCTCCAAGTTTGATGAGAAGACAGAAAACAGACTATTTTCAGTAGGTTGGATACAAGTGAGCAGTAAAGGCCAAAGGATGGTATTGGCATTATTTTAAAGCAGTGGTTCTCAAATGGGGGCAAATTTGCCCCCTGGGGGATATTTGGCAATGTCTGGAAACATTTTTGATTGTCAAAATTAGGGAGATGCATGGTGATACTGGCATCTAGTGGGTAGAGGCAGGGATGCTGCTAAACATCCTACAAATATACAAGATAGCCACCCCCGTCATTTAGAATGAAATAGTATCCATTCTAAATGTCAGCAATGCCAATTGAGAAACCCTGACATTTCTTTCTTTCTAAAAGAAGAAACCCCTAATATCTAAAATCTAATTGTATGTTTAGAGTCATAAGCCTATCTTCCCAGGACCTTCTGTTTAAGGAAACTTTGTTCATAATGTATACTTTTCTAATTCCAGCTAATTATAGTGCCTTACAGTGTTCATAAGTCAAAAGTTATTTGAGGGTGATTGCTTCTACTCGCTCAAAAACAGAATCCTCAGTTTGAATATAAAGTCCTGATTTTTACTCTACCCTTTATATTTTTTGCAATTCCCCATCCAAGTTCTCCTAGAAATTGGGTTGAGATAAAGGGAGGGCAAGACCTCAGATCCACGACTAGCGAGATAACTGTGTTTCATGGGGTGGAAAAACATGAAATTCTGAGTCTCGGATGGCCCTCCTAAGGAAACATCGACTCCCACCGCTC